GCAGGGTACAGTGGGGCCCTGTAAGTCGGGGCGGGGACGTGTGGGGACACCGAGGGGCTGAGCCCCCCGCACGGCACGGCCCCTCCCGAGCAGCAACGGCCAAGCCCAGCTCCACGCAGGTCTGCGCCGGCAGGGAACAGTGGGGCCCTGTAAGTCGGGGCGGGGACGTGTGGGGACACCGAGGGGCTGAGCCCCCCGCACGGCACGGCCCCTCCCGAGCAGCAGCCGCCATCCCTGTGACGGTCACCTCTCGGATGTCTACACGGGTCCTCCTGGGGCTGTGCTCGGGCCAGCGCGAGGTCTAAATCTACCGAGACTACCCCGCTCCCAGTGCGCACACCTAAGGCGCCCATGGGCAGAGGGTGGTGTGCCCAGCTCACGCTCGAATGTTCCAAGAGGCCGTGATGTGTATGCGTGCACCTGCGTGGCATGTGGGCGGGCAAGAAGGAGCAGACCCAGCAGGATGATGATACACAGACATACGGTGAGACTTTATTTTCTATGAAGGCCCCGTTTTACTTTCACATTTTTCCATATAAATGAAATCATTTCCAATTAGTTTTTAAAAACAGAGTGGCCTGGTGCCTATGGCTCACAAAGGGCTCCACGGAATCCCCAGTAACTGTGAAGGGGTCCAAAGAAGATACACAAAGCTCCCCCAGAACCCGTGAACAGCATCCTGACGCCTCGCCGAGGCCAGCAGTCGCCCCCATCCCCGGGAACCCAAAAGCCTGACTCCAACTAGGGCACGCAGCAAATCACACCCTTCCCAGGGCAGCTGTGGCGGTCCTAAAAAGTCTCGCGCTTCTCTGCAAACTGGGGGTGGAGGGGCTACTGGTGGACACTTCTGCCTCCTCCTGGCTCCTGGTTCCCAGAGCAGCCGCCAACAGAGGCCTGGCGACGGCGACGCGGGCAGCATGCCGGCCGGCAAAGGGCTGCGAGCGGACTTGCCCTGTCAAGCTGGCAGCTCTGCAGAAGGTGTGCGGCATGTTCCAGAGTGCAGTGGTCAGCCCGCCGCCAGCGCTGCCACACCCCAGCCTCCTCGGCGTCACGCTGGGTCTCCACCAGGCCAGAGAAGTCCCTGCAGGGAAACGCTGGTATCCCTGGAAGAGCAAACGGTTCCCCCAAGGCCCGGCGTCACCGGCGGGCCAGGCAGATACAAAGGCAGGGAGCAGCCACGAGTCCCCTGGCCCTACCCGGGCAGACTCTGTTTAAGAAAGTCTGGGCGGAGACAAAAATCTGTAACTTAAGGAACCCCTCAGGATTCAATGAGCCGGATTGGGGTCCACTGGCCTAAGGTCCATTCTAACTTCAAAAAAAAAACCTAAAGCGTGCTTACAATGTACTTACCTGGCAGAAGCTGAGGTGCGGGAGGGGTGGGCAGCAAGGGGAACGGCAGGGCGGACAGTGCACTGGTCGTCACAGAGGGTGCCAAAGCCTCTGCTGACATCTCACTTGGCCAGTCCCTGAAGTCGCCTTCAGCAAACACCGCCTCACCCACCGCCTACAGCCCGGGTGTTGAACGCCACGCCTACGCAAACCCGAGTTAAGGACCCTGAAGATTCTCATTGAAATCACCTCATCTCGTGTGCAGACTGTAATTTCTACTGCCTCTTTCTGAATGATTCTGAATTTCTAAACTATTTTTAAAAGCACATTAGCAGCTCAGCGTAAATTCACAGGCTTTAGAATCACACAGCCCTGACTGCGCCGCTCCATTCTGTAGTGATTGGCCTGATAACCCTACGCCAAACTCTGGCCCATCATTCCCAACCAGAAGCCACATGTGAACTGGACACCCCGGGAGGTGGCACCGCCGCTAAGGTCTGAACATGGCGCCCGCACGACATGGCGGACCGGCGCGCTGGCTCGGCGAGCGGAGGCGGTGCCAGGGTGACAGCCCCGCCGAACAGCGCCGTCCCTGGTCGGCCTCTTGTGGCCTGGACTCGTCTCTACCGGAGACTGTTTGCTTTCTACGTGGGAAGAGAAAAGCCCGCAGCAGAGGGAAAGCCGAAGTATGGGCGGCGGCAGGTAGCGGCCAGGCGGGGGGCAGCGGCCCCGGCCCGGGGAGCCCGTGTTCTTCCGGCGCCCACAGCGGTCTCCCTGGGCCAGGCCACCAGCCCTGCGCGCGACTCCCATGGGCTGGAACTCCTCCATGAGGGCTGAGAGCTGGGCAGCCCTGGGGGCGCGGTGCCAAGTGGCCTGCCTGACAGTCTCCTGCCCTGGTCTACGAATCAAACCACGGTAGTAGTGCCACCTGCTGCCACAGGGCACCTCGTCTGCCTTGGGCTCCTGGAGCCATCTTTGCATTGGCCCTGTCCTAACCCCAGGACTGACTGTCACAGCAGGGTGGCTAAAGGATGTGTACAGTGCGCATATGGCGTATGCGTGAAAGCATCCCCAGAGCTGCAGTAAATATGACCCTCAAAAAAATGACCAAGGCTAGAAAGACGGGTAAAGAAACATTGGCCAGAAGGGCCCTTTTAAAACAACCGGTCCCTAAGCGAGCCCCCAAGTGTGAGCCCCCGTGCCCTGACGCCTGGCACTAGCAAGCGGGTCTTGCAATCCCTGCAGCTAAGAACTTCCGCTGCTTCGGGATCTATCACCTGTTAGAATGCTGAAAACATAAACCGGTTCAAGACGAAATCAGCGAGGTAAGTAGCTTCAGATGGGAGCAGCTTCCCCTCCTCTCCACAGTCTTCCTCCACACCCCAACTGCCACTGTGACTTCCACCTTTATTTCTCCAGCACCCTCAAACCTGACATCCAAGTGACTGCTGCCATGGACCTTCCCTGACAGCCCTCACTGGGCCCAGGAGGCGGCTGCCCTTCCGTGAAATGGGGTAGCAGGAACAGCTACACCCCCAGGTCTTCCGTGTCGTGAAGCCTCGGTGAACAGGCAAAAACTCAGCTAATGAACTCAGAGCAGTGCCTGGCAGAGTAAGCACTGAGCAAGCATGACCCCCACCACCGTCGTCAAACCCACCTTCCTTTGGCTCTCTGTACCCCGGACGTGCTTCACGGCCACGGACACACTCACACCTTTCTCCTACAACGGGAGCAGCCCGCGCAAACCAAAAGAAAAACACGTGTTCTAAATATTCAGCAGACACAAAATATACATTTAAGAGGTAACGGGCACAAAGTATTATCTACCAGGCCCGCGCACAGATCCGCTGAGGAAAGGCAAACCTGGTCTCTGAAGTCCCCCTCTGCCACTAGCACCGTCCGGCCTACAGCGCTGCCCACAAACTGCAATGATGTGTGTCACCTGTTTCCAGTATCACTCTAGCTGCTCTTATTTCTAACAATGAGCAGTTTTGTTTCAGGGTGTCTAAACAAAAGAGTGAGGAATCTACTCTGCAAGAAGCCTTTTCCCTGACATTTACTGGGGAGCAAGGGAAGCATGTAGCTGAATCCTCTTGCATGCCACAATGCACCCTGAGACAGCAGGGCGCGGCTTCCTGTCCAGACAGCCTTCTTGCGAAGGTCTCGGGTTGCCTCAGGGCCCTGTGGTAGGGCCAACACCAAATCACCCAGATGTTGGTTCAGACAGAAAACTGGCCAGCCCGTCCCCAAAAGGTCTAGGGATGGGGCCCCAAAATGGCATTTCTAGCACATTCTCACACAGAATGTGAGCACAGTGCTACAAACACAGTGAAGAAGCACTGCTCCAGGCTAGAGATGGGGCCCGACCTGCTGGGTCAACGGGTACTCGCATCCTTTGTCCCTGGTGGGCTGTGCCCCACCACGCCCCCCGCCCCCCAACAAGCCTCGGGGCCCTTACACTGGTGTTGCCAGCCTCGGTGCATTTAAGTGCGGGTCACGCCAGGCCTAACAGTCCTGACAGCTAGGAGAGCGCCTGCACCTTCAGGGCCATGGCCCATCCCCGCCCGCGGGCACCCGCACAGCGGCACAGTCCCCCTCCCCGCCAGCTGGTTCTCTTGGCAAACACAAGCTGTCTCTGCAACCCTATCACCCTGTCCTGTCCCGCCTCGCACCCTCTGTGATCTGCGCAGAGCCTCTTCCCCCGTCAGATCTCACAGCCGTCCTCTGTATTGTCTTCCAAGAGCTCAGCGACGCTGCCTTCTATGTGTAAGCCTCTGGTTGACCAACAGTGGATTTTCCTGACTGGCGTCCATCAGGATGAAGGCCAGCCTCAAGAAGGGCCCGACAGAGCCAATGCGAACTTCAAGGAGCACAAAGCAAGGGCCCCCCATGAAATAGTGATGAGGGGCTGCTACTCCTTTATCAAGGTTTATTTTGTTCTCACAGAGGTATTCAAAAAACCGGGCGTTTCAATGTGAACATTTAGTTTATTAGCAAACTAGTCAGAATGTCCCCCACCTACCACACTGCAAGAAGAATCCTTAAAATACCCTCGAGGGAGGGGAGTGCACTGGACTACGGTGATGGCGCGCGGGGGATTTGGCAATGGGAAGCCCACGGGAATGACAGCTGGGCTGGAAAACAGCACAAAATGGTGTGAAAATAAACTATTTTTTTAAAAAAAAGAAAAAAAAAACCACCCTCCAAGTTTCACTCTAATCTTATCCTAAAGCTCTGGGTTGAGCCCTTAGGGAAGTGGGTAGTCTCCATTAGTGACTGGGGTAAATGGCACAGTCTTTCCAGAGGGTAATTTTGCAACAGATACACACACACACACACATACACGTATTCATATATATATGAATATATACATATACACATATATTCTCTAAGCAAGCAATGACTCTTTGCAGCAATTTGCAGGCAGTAACGGGACAAACTACGTGAAGGGCACTATACTCCAGAATAAAAAAATAAAAGGAAACCAGCCACCACCCAGGCAGGCCGCTGTGCAGGTGGCAGAGCCGGGTGAATGCAGAGAGATGGCCGCAACATTCTGGCGACTCACACGCAGCTAACGAAACTCACACTGTCCGCAGTTCGTGAGAGCCTCGTGCGCACTAGCGCCGAGCAGGCCCCGGCCCTGCCCCCACGCGCCCGAGCCCTGGGAAGCAGGCCAGACGCACTCCCGCGGCGAGCACGGCTGCGGCCCAAAGGCACGCGCCTTTGGACTCAGAGCTCACCGATCAGGCGCCGCCCGAGAGCACCCCCGGCCGGCAGGTGAGGGAGGGCTCGCGCGGCTCGGGCAGCCACCGCCTGCGGTGACCGAGCTACGCCCGACCACTGCCGCTGCGACAGGGAGAATTTCAGGGAACGGGGCGGTCAGGAGAAGCCGTGCACCAGCAGCAGGGTGGCCATCGGCAGAGCGCGGCCGAGCTGGACACACAGCCACACGGCCGCCGGCTCAAGGCTGACACTCAGCGACATCAAGCAGGAATTCTTGCCACAGCTACACCTTCACCTGCACCTGCCTGTGACGTGCGGCACCTGCCTGTGACCTCGAAATGAAGTCTCCGAGGTAAGGAACACTCGTCGCCAGGGCATGCCCCAAAGGGGTCCAACAGCGACCGTTCGCTTTCTTTGAACGTCACCCCCAAAATCAGCAACGTGAAGCGGGTCAAAGCCAAGGGGCAAGAGGGAGAGTGAGCACACAGAAGCTGCCAGAACCAGCTCAGGCAACAGGTTCAGTTCACACGCGCCACGGATGACACCTGCACCTCTGCTCCAGGCCAGGAGCAGCTGCAGCCTTGACTTCATCTGGGAAAACAAGATCCAGTCCTCCTGCAAGGCCCTGGCAGCACGCTCAGAAAAGCCGGGGCGGGAAAGATGAAGAAATCTGAAAGCCAGGCAGGCTGCAGGCCCAGACAGGCCTCCGTCCAAAGGGAACATGGGCAGTGGGCAGGGCACCGAGCTTCAGGGTGCCAACCCCGGAGGAGGGCTGAGCGAGCTCTTCTAGCATCTCTCTGCACCACTTCTGCAATTTTCTGAAGTTGTCTCAAAGCAAAGTGTTCTTTTAATCGTTTCAGATGGAAAATTAAAAGGTGTGGGGCAACCCCTCATTAGTGCTAAAGTAAAATTTGGTGACATCGTTTTAAAACGGACCGATCTCCAATAATTGTGGTCAAAAATCCCAGCAGGTTAAACTGAAATGAGTAACTTCTAACTCACAACAGGATCCTGGACTGGCCTGCCCGGACAGCAGAGTGTCCTGGAGCCTATAGAGCAGGGCAGTGGCGACCTTAGTTTCCCCTTATGAAACTTCCACTGGGGGGGGGGGGGGGGGCATCCTCTAGGGCCTAATGAGAGTCTAACATCTTAGTAACTAGTTTTGCATACAAACTAACTCCAAAAGGCACAAAGTAACAGAATGCACAGGCTTAACCTCCAGCAACCCACCCCGTGTCCTGCCGAAGACTGAGCCTCACAGCTCGGGTGTCCCCTCCCAAATTCTCCTTCAAAGCATCAGGAACTCCAGAAACACCCCGCTGCTAGCCCAGTCATCCTCTCGTCAGCACTCTGCTTTGCAGCACAGAAGGGGGCTCGAGCGCCCCGGTGGCAGGCTGGGCTGGTGTGAACCTAGGCGCAGGTCAGCAGAGGTCACGTCACGAAGGCGGACTCTCGGCTGTGGGCTCAGAACCAGCAGGTCAGGGCACGCAGGCCCACAGCAGCCCTGCCTCTCAGGGCCTTGGGGTCGCCAGCGACCCCACAAGCCCAGGCGACCAGTTGCACCTTTAGTTTGGGGAGCTGGGGTGGAAGGGCAGGGAGCCTCACCGGTAACTCACAGGCCTAAGTCTAATTCTTCTCTCCCTCCCCGCTCCAAGATGGCTTATCTCAATTTCTGCTGGGCCCAGCCCCTTACCAGACAGCGAAGGAACTGGAATATCGCTGCCACAGCCCTTCCTCCATCTGAAGCCTGGTTAACTCCATGAGGGCGCTCAGCCCTGCAAGGCCGCTCGGTGAGGTGAGTAACTCAGTATCTCGCCACGTCTCATCAGATGAAACAATTAAAATGTCAACCTGTCAACAGCTGGTCTCAAAATTTACTTAATAGACCTAAAATAACTTCATGTCATTTTAAGTGAGATTGCACTTATGTGGCTTTAGCAAAAGCCGCCTAAATTCTAACAGCACCATCCCAAGTTCTATGTCAAGTCTGTTCTGAAAGGGGCCCACAAAGTAACAAAACTGCAGGAAACCCACCTACCAAGACTGAGCTGTTTCCTACTATTCTAAAGGGACCTGCGGCAGGTGAAGAGTCGTGAGGGCGG